TTGATAGTTTATAGAGGCAAATTAGGAGTTCAACAATATTTTAATGGAGACTTAGTCATTTTGTCTGAAAATAAGTACTAAAATGGTTAAAGAGGATAGGGAAGGATTGTTTTCATGAAAAGGGTTTCCTCATGAAAGGGGTTTTTCAATTAAAATGATTAAAAATGAAATGAGAGGTTTTTTGTTTCATTAGGCACATTTTACTCATTTGGACTAGTGATTTTCATGTGTACATTCAGATCTAATTGTTTGGGGAGAAAAAAAATTTCATTGCAGAATTCATTACAACTTTAGGCCTTACAATAAATTCAGAAAAAAATAGTCTTTTTATAAGACTTTCGATACAATGAAAAGTAAAGTATAACTCTCTATCAAACAATACGCAACAGGTGTTTATCGCCTATCGCTTTTTTGCGGGATCTTTGCCTGTGATGGGGACGTTGATATCCGTGGACCACCGAATGATCAGATCGATCGGGAGTTTCGTTGATTCGCGAAGGAATCAAGAACCGAAGCGATTATCTCGACAACAGCGAGATAACCACTCTTCTCAAGATCGCAGATAGGTACGATCTCAAGGGAAGGAACCAGGAACTGTAGATCTGACGAACTCTTCTTCTTTATGCTGAAGAACTCGATCCGATCTTCTCCTCCTCTCTGAAATTCGTGCTCCTTCAGTCTCCAATTCAACAGGGCTTCGTCGAGGCTCGAGAACTCCAGATCTATGCAAATGAAGGCCCTAGAGCTGTATTTATAGGCTTCAGGAGCCCTGTTTTCGGATAAGAACGAACGATTTAATCTTATCCTCAGTTGTAACTACTTTATCACATTCTTGGATGATATTAGATCAGTTGAATAACAGTCAAAAAACAGCTCAAAACTGCGTAAAATGACTTTTTGGAGCCTGCGGACACTCGCGGTGTCTCGGCCGTGGTGTCTCAGCCATGGTCGAGACACCTTGGGTCTCTCGGGATATTGTTTCGTGCGTCCCGTCCGTTTCTGCCGTATCTTTGTCGTCTGAACTCGGAATTGCGCGATTCAAAGTGCGTATGAAAGCCGACAAGGAGATCTACAGACTCCCATGATTGAATCACACATGGAGTAGATGGGATATGAGAGGCACTTTATTTTTCGTAAGTGAAGCGTAGCTCCCGATCAGTTCGTATATTCGTTATTCTGCAGTTCATTTGCTTCACACGGTTCGTCGACTTGCTCCATGCACTCATCGACGTTAATTAAGCTTCTGTGACTCAAATAGTAATGTTCACCGTCTTCTCTCTGTCTCGAGCCGCGTGTGGAAATCCGAGGGTAATTTTTGACGCCTACAGATAGCCCCTCCAAAGTGTTTCAGTCTCGTTTCTTTTATAGAAGAGCTTAAAATACTTTGGATGTGATCGGTCTAACCTTCAATCGGTGAGAAAGGACCTGTAGTTGGCTTCAATTCTTGACTTCTTCGATTTTCGGTCTATTCAATATTTTGACGAATAGCTGAAATTCCTCCAGCGCTGCGTTTATCGTCTAGCCGTCGTCGAAGTCTCGAATTAAAATTGGTGAGTTGGTTTTGGCTCGTGTCATTGAGTTGACTTTGAACTGATTATCTCCGTCATAACACATTGACCGACGTTGACTCAGAACTATGCGTTGACCAGCGTTGACCTAGGGCTACGTGTTGACCGACGTTGACCTTCCACTTATCATCATCCATCTCCTCAGGTTTCCCCACCTCTCCTTCGAGGGGTAGGAAGAGATCCTTCTGGTACAAATAGTCTTCTATCTGCATCCTCCAATACCTAAAATTTTAGCCGCCGAATTTCTCAATCCGAAGCATGTTGTCTTCAACTGTAGATCTCATGGCGAAAGATTCTGTCTTTCCCAAACTGTATGCTCTGATACCACTTGTTAGGGTACACGCCAACAAGAACACCTCAAATGGAGACACAAAACACACCCAAACGATCTTGGAATCATAGAATAAAACCAGCAAACATGAATTCAATCACAGTACTCACGATATAATATGGTTCACTCTTACGGAGCTACTCCACGGTGCAACGACGATGCCCAATTCCTTTATTTTCCTTTCAAGGTTACAAAGGAAAAAAAGATAAAAGAGAATACCCTCTTTTGATCAAGATTCTCTCTAAGAATTTTCACAAACTCTCATTCAAGATCTCCCAATGATATTACTTATATCTGTATCTTTCTCTTTCTCTCTCGGCTACTAAGATACTTTACAAATCAAACTTAGGTGAGTATTTATAAGTTTTCTCATGGGGGTAGATGAATACTATTAGGGCGTAGGTGAATACTGTAGTAGGGGATAGGTGAGAAGGCTATCCACACAGCCTCAACTTTCCATTCTCAAGAAAGTTCACAACTCAATAGTAATTGGATGAATAAATATATTGTACACTATAAACTTGTTTCATTAAAAACAAAATATACCATCAAATTTCATAATCATAAGCGCACAAAACAATTTTATATGCAGTTGATGCAACGTTTTGAAATAATTGATAATCCATGTGATGGAAAATAAGGAGATCACATCCCAAGCGATCAACATTCTTAGGCATATTCTTATTGACCTAGTATGCCCACTATTAGTGTTGTCAATGCATTATGTGCTATTTGCGTCACAAAGTCCCTTTACGTGGATGTTCACAAGGCACAATGTGATGCACATGCCTAAGTGAATTGAGACGCACACCAACATAAATAACTAAGTTATGAAATAATATGTTTATGAATTTTCACATGAAAATAGTTCAAGATAAACAATATTTGTTACCAAATCACATAATAAGATCTTAATTCACAATGCTAGCACACCAACAAAATAGTGACATTCACAAATTTTCCGATCAAAAATCTAATCAAGACTAACATCTAAAATCAAATAGTAAATGACAGTGTGTTATAGGATCCTCAATCTGGCTCCTAAAATAGCCTAATATTTTTAATTTTTTTTTCTTTTCGCGATATGTATTATTAGCTATAAAGATCCAATTGAAATTTTAAAGGAAAAAATATGTGGTTACGTCTTACATGCACCCAGTATAAAGGCCCTCGTGCACAGCGCTTGTGAGGGGCAAAAAAACGTTGTTACATTAGATTTGGGGCACTTTATCACCGCTCAGTATAAAGGCCCTCGCGCGCGGCGCCTGTGAGGGGCAAACAAACGTTGTCACATCAGATGTGGGACGCTTTATCACCGCTCAACGTGAGGTGCAACGAGACACGTGCCTATGATAAAACTGTCCACTATTACTAATATATGCTAGGATATTGAGACACAAAATTTTGGGAACTCTTAGTGTCAAAATTAGCCCTGACTAAGAGAACATTTCGACACCCAATATGATTTATTTTTTTAAATAAATCATACTGGTATGTCAGCTTGAGATACGTATAATCTCAATGAATGAACAATTAATGTAGCCAAAATACTTGTGTTTATATAACATGTCAGGAGCAGTTTAGTAACCAAAGTAAACCCTATATGCTTGAGCATGATTATTATATAGAATTAAAGTTATAAACTGACGCTTATATATTTTTGTCCGACTGAAAACATAAGGTCATAGGCCAGAATGAAGATGGACTAAATTACAAAAAATTTGGCAGATAAAAGCACCCAACATATTTGTTCAAGTTTGTCATCGACCAAGTACTTACTCTATTGAAGGCAGAAGCAAAAACAGAACAGCACGAACTATTTTTCTCCCAAATCCACCAATATTGATAATAATATAAAATTTATTTCCACCTTTTTGCTTCCTTTGCCGCCGCAACGCAGGTGTTTTTCCCCCTTTTTTAAGCCGCAGCTTCTGTTTAGGTTTAATAATAATTATGTTTTATTGACTAAATAGCACTTAAGTACCTTACATCATACATGATTTTGCACTTACATACTCTTACGTATTTTTTTTGACATTTAAGTACTTTACGCCAATGTCAACCAATCTCAAGATATGCATCTATCTGACTGAGTCAAACTGTACCAAAAACTACTAAATTGAAGCAGGCAACAAAGACATTTTTCTTTTTCAATTGTATTAAAAATAGCACATTTTAAATGTTGGAATGTTGTGGTTCAACGTTGGAATATACTCCTAAAAGTTCTCATAAGACTTGCACGCTATGAAATTTGGTTAATTTCATTGTGACTTGCAACATTTAACTAATAGAAGGTGGCAATGTGCTACTTTCAAAAAAATAAAAGGCATTTAAATGTCCATAAAAAGGAAATATAAGCGCAGAAGCATGTAAACTATAAGGCATTTAAGTGCTACTTAGCAAAATTTTTCTTTTATTAAATGTTATTTTCTTTATAAACCCCACTCAACTTATAATTACATAAGCTATGTAATATAATAATGATTTCTTATAACTCCTTTAATTTAAGATTTACATTTGAGTCACCCTTAGTACATCTGATTGCGAAAACCCAAAAAAAAAGAAAGAAAGAAAGAAAGAAAGAAGGGAAAAATGTGTCCAGGCCCCAAAAGTGGGAACTTCGTGTGACTAGCCCCCCTGTACTTTGCCCCATGTGGAATAGCCCCAAATACGCATAGTATTTGCGACGAGGCCCCGAATTGACTCTTTTCAGAAAAAGCCCAGCGGAAGTTACTATCTTGCCCTCTGATGGGACTGAGCTGGGTTAATGTGCCCCTCACCTTTACAAGTACTCTCCCTCTCTTTCTCTCTCTTCCACCTAGCACCGTCATCAAGAACTCTTCATCTTCCTAATTTCTGTACGAATTTCAACGTTTCTAGGGTTTTCGCCGGAAAAATGTCGTCGTCTACGGAAAAATCCAGTAACGACTACGAGGTCGGGCACCGAGCCGAGTTGGAAGGAAAAGGCGCTTCATCTGCGGGTGGCAGCACGGAGGAAGCTACGGAAGCTACGAAAACCCTAATCGAAATGCAAAAGGAGGCATTACAATGGCGAGACCAGAAAAGGAGGACGACAATGGCTGGTCGTACCAACAAACCCCCCTCAAAAAAACAGTAAGTGTTATGTTATACTGCGAACAGACAATGCAGATTAACCCAATATTGTTAGTTCTAGGCTTATGTTATACTGCGAAGAGACAATGCAGATTAACCCAATATTGTTAGTTCTAGGCTTTGTCCAATGTTAGTTCTAAATTTATACCAACGTTAGATCTAGTTTAAGTCCAATGTTAGTTCTAATATGAGTCCAATGTTAGTTCTATAATATTACGTGTTAGCTCTATTTTGTTCCCGTTAGTGCTAGGTCTAATATTGTTTCATATGTCTTATTGAACGTACAAATTCGAAAATTTTTTGCAGGAAAAAAATTGCTCTAACAGGCTCAGCAGAAACACTAAGGTTAACGGCCAATATCGGGGCTTATTGGGCATTTATGAAGCGCCTTGCCCCGAAGATCCGTCAGTGGCATAGGGATGCATACTGCGGTTCTATATTTCAGCACTACATTTTGTTTGGGGCTCCTGCGGCTGATCGGCCCACCCTTGAGCTGCTGCTGAGCTTTTTCGATAGAGATAATAACACCTTTTGTATACCTGATTCAAAAAGTGGGGGTATGAAAAATGTTAGTTTTGATTTGCAATGGGTCCACAACCATACTTATTTCCCAATTTATGGGGAGGACATAAGGAACAATAGGGACTCAAGAAGCAGAATATGGCTGGAATACTTCGCTAAGCTTTTCATTTCTGAAGAGGGTAAGAAGTTAAAAAAATCAGAAACCAGCCAACGTAAACATCTTGAAGGGCTACTTGAACGGCTTGTTGAATCTACCAAAAAGCGGGATATCGAGGATTTTGCTCTGCTACAAATTTTGTACCAATGCTCTATGATATGGAGTCCCATAGCAGGGGAAGGTATCCCTAGACCCTTACTCAGATACCTGGATAGCATTCAGAGGGTCAATTCTGTTGCATGGGCCCCGTTCTTTTATAATGAAATTATCAGGGGCATTGGAGTTGCTTTGGAGGGAAAGAAGAAGCAAAAGGTCGCATATGTCCCAGGTTGCATGACACTATTGTGTGTAAGTTCCATATTTTACTGATCTTGTTTCATTCTAATTCGTACCTATGCATTGTTAGTTCTAACTTATTCTATGTTAGTTCTATTCTGTAGCGTGTTAGTTCTAATCTGCACAGTGTTAGTTCCGTTCTGTAGAGTGTTAGTTCTAATCTGCAGATTAGAACTCACACGCTACAGACAGATTAGAACTAACACGCTGCAGAATAGAACTAACACTCTACAGAATAGAACTAACACTGTGTTAGTTCTATTCTGTAGAGTGTTAGTTCTAATCTGCACAGTGTTAGTTCTATTCTGTAGAGTGTTAGTTCTAATCTGCACAGTGTTAGTTCTATTCTGTAGAGTGTTAGTTCTAATCTGCACAGTGTTAGTTCTATTCTGTAGAGTGTTAGTTCTAATCTGCACAGTGTTAGTTCTATTCTGTAGAGTGTTAGTTCTAATCTGCACAGTGTTAGTTCTATTCTGTAGAGTGTTAGTTCTAATCTGCACAGTGTTAGTTCTATTCTGTAGAGTGTTAGTTCTAATCTGCACAGTGTTAGTTCTATTCTGTAGAGTGTTAGTTCTAATCTGCACAGTGTTAGTTCTATTCTGTAGAGTGTTAGTTCTAATCTGCACAGTGTTAGTTCTATTCTGTAGAGTGTTAGTTCTAATCTGCACAGTGTTAGTTCTATTCTGTAGAGTGTTAGTTCTAATCTGCACAGTGTTAGTTCTATTCTGCACAGTGTTAGTTCAAGTCTGTAGCGTGTGATGGCTTGTTAGTTCTATTTTATTACACGTTATATCTAATTTATACCACGTTATATCTAATTTATGTTAGTTCTAATTTAAACCACGTTATAAACCTAATTTATACCATGTTATATCTCATTTATACCAAGTTAGTTCTATTTTATAACAAGTTAGTTCTAAAATTTTAACCAAGTTTGTTCTAATTTATACCA